GAAATGTACTCAAGGTCAAACTCTCCCAAGCCCAATCTCTATCTCAATGGTCCCTCCTCTGGCTTTCTCCACTGTGCCCAGCAGGAAATTAGATAGAAAAACTTCTTCCCCTCCTCCCCCCTACTCCAAAGCTACCAAGTGTAGCATTTTCTCACTGACAAGCCCCTAACTAATGTCGGAATTAAAAAGTGCATTCTGCAAGGTTTGGTTTTCATCTCTCATGTGCACTAAAGCAAAAGAAAGAGAAAGTGACACGACAGAGCCACATAACATTCATACCCCCACCTTCCTTCTTGGAACTCTGCTCCTAGCTAGAACTTTTCCCGGCCACTTTCTAGCATTCAAGTCTGTTATAAGGGGGATTTCTTCAGAAAGAAAGTCTTAGAGGGGATTCTTCTATCAGAGACAGAGAATGGCTTACACAGAGATCTCCTTCCACCTCACTCATCAAGGAGCATCTCCTCAGCCGAAGCAGATGTCACCAAACCAAAAGTCAGAGAGAGGGAAGTTCATAAAAGAATCGCACGATGCTAGGGAAATCCAGGTGTTGCCCATACATGCTATAAAAAAAAAAAAAAATGCTCATTCAGTCAATTCAATGCAATTCCATTAATCAAGACACTAGCTTTGGCCTCTTATTATGCATTTAAGACTAAATTAGTTAGGTTTAACATAAATTTAAGACCAACTTAGTGATGCCTAAACTCAAATGCAAAGAAAGATCCATACGTGAAGAAACCCCATTCATTAGAGGTAACTATTTCCAACACACCATACACACACAAAGTCATCGGCTGACAAAGATAGGCTAGTAATCAAGAACTGGATGAGGCAAGGGATGGTCCCAGGACCCACTGGGGTTCAGACCCTGAAGTATAAGTAACCAACACTCCCTCCCAATAGTTCTCATCCCCAGATTTCCAGGCACCTGTCTTTTCTTCTGTCCACATTGCAGGTATAAGGCAGGTGTTTAACCTCACTTGATGAGCGAGGCATCTGAGGCATGGGGAGGGGACTTGGAATAAGAATAACTAGCCCTCTCAGCCCTCCCCTCAACCCCTAACCCAAGTCCTTTGGACAACTCCACATAAGCTATCAGGTCACCCAGACAAACCCACAGGAAACAAAAGCAACAACAACAACATGACAGTAAATTCTACCACAGAAGTTGAGGCAATGCTAGTAATTGTGTTCTCCCAGTCATGCTGATTCACCTACATCCAGGGAGATCAGAGACATGTCTCGCCTACTGTTGTATCCATAGCTTCTAGCACAGCCCCTGGCACATGGCAGGTGCTCAGTAAATGATGAACATGTGAGTTTACTACCACTGTTGATCTTATTTATTACCTTGCACTCAGGCAATAACAAAGCCAACACTTGAGGACCTCAGGGAACATCCGACTGCTGGAAATATGGATGGTAGGGCACCATAGGTCATCTGGGAGTCTTTTAAGACAGTGTGACAATGTAACAAGCACTTCTAATTTCAAATCTTTCTTTGGCCCTCTGTGTCCATTCTATCACCTCAGTCCTCAATGAAAGTAGTGATTTGGTGGATTGTATGGTAATGACCTGAGTTGCTATCTTGTTGCCTTTCCCTGTGGGATATAGGGGGGTGACCAAGATTAAAAACAGGAGTGTCATGATCAATGTTGAAAATGCTGGGCCTGACAGCATTTTATTCTCAAGTATACAAGATTCCATCCACTAGCCTTCAGCCTTGCCATGTTGCTCCTCCCTAAGTGTCTGCTGTCCCTCTGCACTCTTGCTGGGGCTGCTCCTCCCCTTTTTAGACTCACACTTGGGGCTCAGGACTTTCTGTATATTCCTTGGGATCTCCAAACACCCTATGTGAGCTTTTAGTCTTTTCTCATCCAACTCTTGCACAAGGCTTTACTATATTAGAGGAAGCAAAAAGCCATGATTGAACTTTTCCTTTAAAAAAATAAAATAAAATTGGCTTATACACACTGGGTTCTGGGAGTGGAGGTGGTGGGAGAAGGGGCAGGAGACCAGCATGCCAGTCCATGCTCTGCATCTGGAATCTTGTATCAGCTAACATGCGATGCTAGATTTCTGTAAGACAAGATGGTTCACTGACCTCAAGGAACTCATCAACTCACAGAAGAATCCTAGTGTGCCCTGAGAGTGACAATGAGCTCGGAATCTACCAGGTCAGAGGTAGAATCAGCCTGTGGGGTATTCTAACCAATGCTCAAAGTACAGGGAGACATGATAATATGCACACACAAAAGAAATGAGATCACTTCCTAGAATTGTAATTTCTTAATCAGTAGATATAGGGAGTCGGACTGCTCAAGGGCTGCACATTGGTTTTGCTTGGACCATTTTATCTGGCCAGTTTGACTTTGAATACTCAATTGTCCCCAGGCTGGCCACTCTAATTGCCTGATCAGCACATTGTCACCTGCCTGCCCTCTGAAGGCAATTTGAGTTTGCGACTCCTTTGACATGACAATCTCCAAGCCCTCTTCCAACTCCGAACCTCAATAAGAAGTAACTAACAGAGGAGCTTTCAAACAAGCCAGGAAGGGTACCCCAAAACAGAAAAGCTTCTGTGATTCCGCCAATCTAACTGAGAGGTGGCAATCCACAGAGCCAGGCCAGACCTCTTGGCTTCTCTGCCCTTCTGTTCTGGCAGCCCCTCTCTGTCCTTCCCTTCTCCTGTTCTACCCTCTCTATACAGACAGTTGGTGGGGAAGGGGGCAGAATCAACAAGCCTAGCTCTCGGTCCCACCTGAGTCATCAAGCTTTCTTTACCAGTCCTCTCCTAAGCCCTAGGTCACCACTGACATCAAGCCCTTGCTGCCTTGTACTGCCTGTGCATTTTTCTGTTCATGTTCTCCCTCCCCATACCCACAAGCTGGTGAATTTAGCAGCTTCTCTGGGCATGGTCTCGGCCCTGTATCTACCCGCACCTAGGATGGTACATTGCGCTTACGAAATATTTGATGTCCACAGTGAAGATAATGCTGGCTATTGTCAGCTCTGGAGGAGGAAGGCTCTGGCATGACTCCTTGGAAAGAGAACAGAGATAGAAGATCTGCCATCCCTTCCTGAACGGATGGTGGTAGCTGTTGCTTTGCAGAAAGAATTGCCTACTCCCACACATACATACACCTTTCCCAACCTGGCATAACCAGACGCAGCCCTTCTTCCTGAGTGGCCCCCCAAAACAGTCCTTCCTGCCCTATGCCTGACAGAGTGGCAAACTCCCCCTTTCTCTTTGATATTTTATCTCCTTCCTCCTCCATTGGGTACTGGAGGTTTTTTCCAAGCTCCTTCTTAATCTGTCCCCCTTTTCCCAGTGAGATACAGTTCTCAGGCTCAAGTTCTTCTCTGCCCCTTCCTCAAGGTCATCTATCCTGGTTCAGAAAATGCGAGAGGCCACTTTTGAATATTAAGAAGAAATGGTGGGGATGAGGTGGGGTGGTGAAGAAAAGGAATGGAAAAGAATAGCCTAAAAGATGAGGGAAAGTGGGGGAGGAGAGGGACTGGAAGGAGGTCCTGGAGAGCGCTGGAGAGAGGAGCCTTTGCCTAAGGAGCAAAATGAGGCCCGTGTGTGTGTGTGTGTGTGTGTGTGTGTGTGTGTGTGTGTGTGTGTGTGTCTGGCGGGGTAGTGGGGAGGTGATCCCTGAGAAATGTAGGAGATTGGATTCTCTCGGGGCTGAGGGAAAAATATGCTGGGTGGGGCCAGAGACGGTAGGTCGTGTTGGGGTCTAGACACAGGCGAGCTTCCAACCCCCAATCCCAGTTGTGTTGGCTTGACCAGAGGGCCGGAAAGGAGCACATCCCGAGGGCGGGCAGCCCCTCCCCGCTCCCGCCGCTCTGTTCCCACCACCGAAAGCCCAGAGAGGATCGCGGGGTGGGGCACGGTCCAGCGATTATCTCTTCTATTCAAACCGCGGTACCACCGCAGCCGGGCGGGGCCCGGAGAGCGGAAGAACCCAAGGACGGTGCACCGGGGGATGAGGAGGAGGCAAGAAAGGCGCTTCAGGTGGCTCCTCTTCGTAGTTTAAAGTTTGAGGAAGGCGAAGGAGCCGACTCCATCCTCCCTCTGCCGCCGCCCCGCGGCTCAGCCCGGCCGGGTCGCCTCCGCCTCGACCTCTTTCTTGGCGGGTCCAGCGCCCTTTTCCCTCTGGGCTCCCGTCGCGCTCGGGTCCCAGGATCCCTTCTCCGGTCTCCATCCCTCCCTGTTCCCGCGCGCGCCCCGCTCCCCCCCTACGAGCTGGATCTCCTGCACGACGTGAGCGGAAAGTGAATAGGCAGCCCCAACCACAAAGACAAATTACCATGAGAAAAATAAATCAGGAAATCGCCGTTCGCGTCCCGATTCCCGCCGCCGCACCCCTCTCCACCCCCCGAGACCTGAACGCGGGGCTCCCGCGCCGCTGCGTCTGGGGCCTGGCAGGGCAGAGTTTGGGCTCCGCAGGGCCCTGGCAGGGCAGGGGGTCAGTGATGGATCTGGGCAGCGGTGGAACCGGGACGTCCCCGACCGAGAGATTTCACACTCCGCGCGGGCCATGCGTTCCCACGCGCCTCGCCACCCGCACTCCCCCTCCACGGGGTTCACTCGCGGGCCCTCTGAGCCTCCATCTCGGCGTCTCCGCCCTCAGCTCTCCCAGCCTTTCATTCGACTGTCCCTTCCTCCAGGCCAGGGCTCCGGGTCCCCATCCGGGCTGCAGCCCAGACGCGCAGACCACCCCACCGGACAAAGGCCCCGCGCAGCGGGACCCGGAGCGAACGGGAGACGGGAAAGCGGTAGCGCCGAAGATGCCCAAGCCGAGGTGGCAGCGGGCGGCGGAAGCCCGAGGACCTCCTCGCCTCCCGCCCGCAGCCTCCACTACCTGGTTCCAACTTGCTCGAGCCCTCAGACCCCTACGCGTCTCCAATCCCTCTGCCCATCGAGTTGCTGAAGTTTGCAACTTGCAGTCCCAGCCCGCGCAGGGGAAGCGCCCGAAGCTCCCCGGACTCACCTCCGGGCTGCAGGTGCCCAGTTCCCGGTGACTCCCGGTTCCCAGAGCGGCGGAAGCGAACCAGGAGGGCTGGCGGCGGGTCTGTGAATGGGGCGGCCGCGCAGGAAAGGTCCCCGGCCCTCGGCCCCGCACTCCCGTGCAG